GTCATTATGCTAGCCTAGTTAGGCCCGTTTCCGAGAAAAGTAGTGGACACGATTAGAGACCTCATAATCCCACTACCCGTTTCCGAGAAAAGTAGTGGACACGATTAGAGACCTCATAATCCCACTAATAAGGACCTATCGAAATAGTCTCTGAATGCCCTCATTTGCCTCCACCTCTTCTGTTAGTAGCAAAATAATGGACAGTTTATCAAGGGGAGGGCCCATGACACCGGTGGGGTGTGGTTATCCATCGCATGTAATGTGTATTCAAAAGTACCTCAGTTTTTTTTTTCCCTGAAAAATAAAATTGTCACTTGTCTCTTCGACTATGAAACCACATGAAATGAGCTCATAAGTTTATTTGACGCCTGCAAATATAAGGTCATTTTGCATTCTTACATGGAAGACAGATAAAATGATGCTATAGTATTACATTTCAAAAGTTCAACCCACACATTTAATCGTTAGTCAAATAAGAGACGAGATGGAAATTTATACATCTCAACTTCAAGCCCCATTCACTCAAAAAAAATCTGTTTAACCTATGTGTACCCCTTATAGGTGATTCTATGCGACTGAAATTTGTGACTAGTCAAATATGTTCAGATTATCATGGCATGCACAATCTTAACAGTTAACGGAAGACGGTGACTAGAGGTAATAATCTTAATTTATTATTTATTAATCATCATTACATGATTTCAGTCTAAAATATAGTTAATTTTTTTTTTTTTGCGTTTGTATTGAAGTTTTTGTGGCGTTGTCTATCAGTTTTGAAATTCATGAAGTAATTTGAATATTATGTTGACGTCTGACAATCTGTGTTTTTAGTGTATCTGTCTAACGATCTGTGTTTATGGAGAAGAATGTACATTAACAATTTGTATTTTACTGTACCTGTCTGACAATTTGTATTTTGGTGTACATGTCTAACAATCTGTGTTTATGGAGATGAAGATACATTAACAATCTGTGTTTTAGTGTACCTATTTGACGATATGTATTTTAGTGTATCTGTCTAACGATATGTGTTTATGGAAAATAAGATATATTAACAATCTGTATTTTAGTGCACCCGTCTGACGATATATATTTTAGTGTATCTGTCTAACGATCTACGTTTATAGAAAAAAAAGGCACATTAATGATTTATGTTTTAATGTATTTATTTGACGATCTGTGTTTTAGTGTATCTATTATTTTTTATATTTTTTTTATTACGTACCTGTTATTTTTTATTTTTTTATTGTGCACATGTCATTTTTTGGTTCGAATGTGTATATATATATAATTACATACTTACTTTTTTTTAGTATACATGTCTTATGATTTGTATTTATGAAGAATTATGATGACATAGTATTTTAGAATAAGTGTTTAAATTAGGTGAGGATACTGTTATTATTTTCTATAATTGTAAAAGGCGTTAGTTATATTTGTTGCTTTGACTTTTCAACAAGGATTTAATCTAAGAGAAAATTAACGAGTGGGTTTTTTTTTTTGGAATCCTATTGAGCCTAGGGACCATCCTCCAAAGCCCTCTTATTTTAATTAGATGGGTTAATATGGATTACAAATGAGTACTCATTGAGTTGAATACTTATCTTTCTATTAAATAAAATAAATAATAAAATCAAATAAATATTTTAATATACTAAAATACACACATACTAATACACCAAAAAAATACACACACATACACTAATACGCCAAAATACGCACACACTAGTACACCTAAACATGCACACTAATATACCCTGCCATGACCCAGGATCCGTGACTTGACCCATGACCCATTATATGTGGATTGGCCCATGACCCATAGGTTGACACAACCCATGAATCATGAGTCATGGTCCACAATCAACCCGTCCTGACCCATTATGTGTATTTTGGTGAATAATGTGCGTGTATTTTGGTTTTTATTAAATGTATGTGTGTTATTATTGTGTGTATTTTTAGTGTATTAGTATGTGTTTTAGGGGCTATTTGTTTGAGAGATATGGGTGGTATAAGGGGGTAGTATAAAGAAAATAGTACGTGGGGTCTATCTTATACCTTTTTTGTTTGACAATTTTTACTCGGTATTATTTTATGGGTCATAGTATTGACCCGGTGTGAACAGTAACTCTTATGTCTTGTATATGGTGCTAAGCAATACCACCTACCCGATGGTATTATATTCTTGGTACAAATGAAATGGAGGTATAAGAGAATAAAATGACGCAAATGTCCTCCTATGTGAAGAGTTCACATATAAAAAGTTTATTTTGAATTTTTTTCTTATATTATATTTAAGCGTACGATGTCTCCCGATTTTTTTTTAAAAATTATTTTAATTTTTTTTCCTTTTATTATGTTTAAGCTAACGGTGTTAACAGATTTTTTTTTTTAAAAAAATGTTTTAAAATATTTTAAATTTTTTTCTTTTTATTATGTTTAAGCATACGGTGTTAACGGTTTTTTTTTTAGTTTTTTTTTTAAAATTATTTTGAATAATTTTTTTTGTATTATATTTAAGCGTACAGTGTTACCAATTTTTTTTTTAAAATATTTTTTTGAATTTTTCCTTGTATTATGTTTAAGCGTGCAGTGTCACCGGTTTTTTTTTTAATTTTTTTTTTGAATGGAATGGATGATATTAAGGATAAAATGGTATATTTGTTATAGAAAATGTGATAGAATAGATGGTTGTTTGTAAGACTCATTATAGTATTTATTGAACAAATAAATAAGGGGAAGGATGAGATAAAAATTTAAGATCGGGTATAATATATCATTGAATAGGAGTGAAATGGAAATAATTTCTAATACCACTCAAATCTAATACTCCAAACAAACAGGCCCGTGGTGTATTAGTGTATATATTTTTAATGTATTAGTGTGTTTGTTTTGTATATTAGTGTGTATAATTTTTGTGTATTAATATCTATATAATAAAGTAGAATGAATTTGAATTTTGCAAACAAAGAGTGATTTAGATCGTTTCATGACAAAAAAAACATCATCTAACGAACGACGTTATCCCAAACTGTCTTAAGCTATTGACGTTTTAGATCGTTTTGACCTGACGGAAAACATTAACTCTTTTGAAATATTTTTATTGCTCAAAATTTATAGTTTCCAAAATTGATATTCTAAAATTTAATTTCTCCAAATCTTTTTCTTAAATCAAGTAAATCTTTCTTTCTCTCTAATTCCTCTATATCTCTCTCTCTCTCTCTCTCACGCTCAAATCTCGTAAAAAGTATCAATTTTTCACAATATTTTCATCTATATCTCTCTCTGTATCTCATGAAAATATCACGAACATATTAAATAGTGTTTGATTCAAGTAAATACTACATCTCTTTACAGATAAATAGTATATGTCACAAAAAGAAATAGTATATTACGAAAATATTCGTCTATATCTCTCTGAAGAAAAATTATATAATAAATATTATATAGATAGTATATATCACAAAAATATTCATTTGTATCTCTCTCTCTCTTTCATTCAAGCAATACTACAAACACGAATCATACAAGTTTAATAGTTAATTTTGTTTTGTCCATAATCAATAAAAAAAAAGCATAACTTGCAAAAAATCTAATTTAACAAAGAAAATATACTTAACATGTAAAATATACAAGATTAAATTCAAGTTATTGAGCAATTCAGTTATCAAAAAATATATTAAAAAAAAATATGCTTAACATTTAAAATATACAAGATTGAATTTATATATAAACACGAATCATACAAATTTAATATTTAGTGAAAAACACAAAACAACAATATTTACTAATAATCCAAATCTAAATACCCAAAAAAAATAATATAAAATTATAAACGAGAGATACGATATAAAATTATAAGCAATACTATGAATACGAATCATACAAATTCAATATTTAGTGAACAACATGAAGCAACAATTTTTACTAAATAATCCAATAATAAATAACGTTTAGTTTAAGAAAAAATACTAAGAATATAAATAACCGAAAAGAATGATATAAAATTAAAAGCACTACTATAAACTCGAATTATACAAATTCAATAGTCAGGTCATATCTTTTAGAAGTCGGTTGAATTTCTGATAGTTATATTTTGTCATTTGACAACATCTGCAAACTTAGTTTATTTGTGGGAGTATTGTCTTAATTTTCATTCTATTAGTTATGAATTCTGTTATTATTTATATAAAATTGATTATGAATGTTAAAATCGTGGATTTTGAATAAAAAATAGAACATTGAATATTGTCAATTGATATATTTTTTCAGATTTTGAATTATTATGTTTTAGTAGTTATAACATAATTTTTGTGGCGTAACAATTTAATGTGGAAAATATATGCATGTAGGTTAATGTTATAAAAACTATTAGCGGATTCATTTTGTTCGTCGTTTACTACAATGTTATATTTTACTTTACATTTATGTATAGACAAATATTTGTAACTAATTTATGAGTAACGCCGTGCCTTCAGGCACGAACAATTTCTAGTATATTCATATTAAGAGTTTTAATTATTTTATGAGTTAATGAATTTAACCCGTTTATTAAATGAGTTAAAAATGAATTACATTTATTTTGCACGCAACCCATATTGAACCAACTCATAATTATCTCGACCCACTCATTTACGACCACTTAGTGGCCATTTAAGTCAAAGATAAACTAAAAATGGGGAAGGGTTCTATAACGAAATGTTCTTTTTTTCACTACTATGCTCAATGATGCAACATAACAGATTGTGGCAGTAGTAGCTCAAGGATGGTTCACTTCAATTTCCCAAAGCAAAATATATGTTCATATTATATTAGCAAACCTTGAAAGGAAATTGGAAGGAGAAATTATTCAAATACACCAAGAAAAAATAATTTCGGGCAAGAGCTCATGTGTTGACTTTAAAGAAATCCGGACACATGATTCATACGAATTAGAGAAGTTCAAAAAATTAAGAGAAAACTACAGATTAACCAGACTGTGCACATGGAATTTACCAATACACACTTAAATTCAATCATAATAGCCAAATTCAAGAACAGATCCAAATAAATCTTTCATACAAATTTACATGAAATACATTAATTTTCAATAAATACAAAGTTCAGATGCCATAACAAGATTGATTGTATGCAACAACAATCTTTTCCTTTCTTTACAAAAAATTCAAATCAAAAGCAGCAGTGTAGATTTTAACTACGCTCATCAAGCCATGAAATAATATCGCCCAACACGCGGTGTATCATCTCATCTGGCTCACCTTCAAGAAGTGAATGATAAGCATTGTCGTATAGATTAAGTTTCTTGTCTGAACTGCTTGCCTTCTCATACAAAGCCTTGCTTACAGATGGATCTGTCACTATATCAGCCTTACCATGCAGGATCAATAATGGCAGACAGACCTGCAAAAAATATGAAGTTCCAAGTCAACTAATGCAGATTACCACTGTAAATATCTTCCATTGATAACACTATTTCTCATACTATAAATTCGTTGTTAGAAAACTATATTCAAGATTTGATGGACTCAAAAACACTCTGCTCCGTAATGACAATAAACACCTTTCGTAAGCAGTAGAACTCACATGAAGCATTCAATACAATAGGCTTAAACTTTCATTAAAATAGTCTAAGCAAATGTATATCATGTGCATGCACGCCTGAACACACGCACACGGAGAGAGCTCATTAAGATATGTCCCCTGCAATAGATGTCCCACTTGCTCTAGGTGCTTCAAAAGATAGGTAAAAATTAGAGGAATCTAGAGGAGCTTATATTGCACACCCAACTCAACAAGGCTTAGACCGATTAGCTTAGCATGCACCAAATCTCCAGACAACTGCCACACGGCCCAGTATTAACGTAACTCGGCATTATCTCTGTTTTCATCAAGTGGAAATTGGTGAATTGGCTGATTCTGATGCTCCTGGGTGAATGAGAGAAGGACAAGAAGATTCATGGATAATGTTTTTTACAGCATTCGTCCTCCAGGATTTCCCCATATAGTACATCCCAAAAGATCCTGTATGAATCAGCTATTTTATGGGCAGGGGGCAGCTAGCTGGTCACATGGTTGCATCTTGCTAGCAGTGGATAATTTCACTAATAGGAGCTGAACTATTGTGAAATACCACACGAGTATAGCCACAGCCTATCAATAATCAAGTCAGAGTAATCCAATCTCCTTATTGACAGAGCTTTCTTTAGGACTTCTTTCCTTTGCCCTGGTTCAGGTCTTGCCACCCTGGATCTCCTGAAACTTCAAGCATAAGGGTATTTACATAAAGATCAGCTCAGGTACTGTGAAAATCACAATGTACCAAACCAGGAGGAAGGCAGGTATCAGTTTCATCAACGAGCCACTTGTGCTGAACCAACAGATTTACCAACTTGACTTACCTAACTTGATTTATTCTGTCCTCAATTATAGTAGGATTCAATAATCCATGAAAGTGGATATACACGTATTGGAGAAATATTAGCCCAATATAACGAGTACATTATTTTTCTTTGAAACCTTGTTCCCTTTGACATTAATTTACAATTGTTTCATTGAGCCTGTTCTGCCTTCATGTAGATTTCTATGTCCAAACACTCTCATCTTTGCTTATCAATTTATGGTTACTTACATACGCTAAACATAGCAGATTACCTATTCCTGCCCCATCCCGAATAGACCAACAGGAAGCTGAAGAAAGGCGCAAGAGAGAATTGATAATAAACTCCCCCTCCCCCACCCCCCTTCGTACCACAATTAGGTGCAGATCAGGAAGGCTGGAAATCCCAATGGGGAACCTATCGCTGAGCCTCATGATTCTTTCACGAAGTGCTTTCTCAGATGTTTCCACTCCTGCCCCATAAGCAAAGAGGTTTTAAAATGTTACGAACCTAAATGACTTTATCATGTTTCAGAGATCCAATAATACATTGGCCATACTGGAATTTATTTTCCTGTTAGTTGAATGTTTTCCCAGTGTCCATCCAAGCCTTAAGAAAACAAAGGTAGGAAAGCTGGACAACAAATTGAAGATAAAAGAGCAGTGTGCATACAAAATAGAGCTGAACCACATCCATTGTACCAAAAAACCTAAAGAGTGGTGCAAATTTCAACAAAAAAACAAAGATAAGGCAAGGACCTAACATTTTCCAGTTGATGTTCCATCTCCTGGGTGGTTCTGAGTAACTCCAGAGCAGTTCCCAAACGCGGTTTATGATTGTAACCAATAACGTTGTACACTGTCTGCATTTAGAAAAACCTTGATCTTTTGAGAAACATATTCACTTGGTAAGTTATATGGACACAAAAATCAAACCAATAGGTCCAGATGGTTGCAGATAACCAACAGTAGATAAAGGCAGGGACAGAAAAATATCCCACGCCCACACCACAATAAAACCCATACTCTTTACTAAAACTGAATAGGGCATCATATTCATCCCATATTCGTTAGAGAAAAAGAAAGAAACAAACTAGTTCTTTCTTCTTTGAATCTTGGAATGCTGCTTCAGCTAAATCCTTTTGTGGAACTAGCTTCTGCTTTGGAAAAATTTTCGCCGCACCAATTAGAATTTGTGTCAACAGCCACGGCGGAACCATGTCATCTGCAATCTACACCAAAAGCTGACCTTCAATACATATGTTCAAATCACAGACAGGAGGAGTGTCTTTCATGAGCAAGTTCAGAAGAATACTTTGCACATAGGTGCAACTAGAATGGCACCATTCCATGCATCAGGTTGTTTCAGGTGCACATTCAGGGCTACTGCTCCACCCATAGACTGTCCAAACAGGAAGCTTGGGAGATTACAGAACTCCGGGTTTTCTGCGTCCCAAATAACCCTCTATAAGCATTATCACCGTTTCATGTGTAGTTATTCTAACAACAATCTAGACAAGGATAACAAGCAGATACATACCTTTTACAGCAGAATAGTGCTCATATAGAACTAAAGCTATGTAACATAACTCTACGGATGGTATATAGATTATTCGGTTCCAGATTAACAAGATTTCACATCTGCACACATTTATCAGGCTTGTATATAGATCACTTCATCCTTGATTTGCTGTTAGTTCAAGGAATATAGTCAACTGGATAACAGCACCAAATCCAATCTCTCGGATTTGATTCGGTTAAGAGTTAGATCCATTTGATAGGACTAGTTAAATAATGTCAACGCGCAAGGCCTTAACAACAGTCAACAGAATTGCAGAGTATATGGTGCGTCAGGTTCCGGTTACAATCTTATGTACCAAAACCAAGGTAAATTTGTCACAGGCTTAAGGAAAGACCAGTACCCATCATTGGTCCCTTCAGTGTGGAACACTAGGAGGGACAGAATGGGACAGACCTACATTCAAAGTGGCTTTCCCTCGGGTTCTAAGAAGCATTCTCCAAGGTCTTGTCTTGCACCCAGCTATGGCAACCAGGCAAGAGGAAATTGTAAAAATTAAAAACTTCACGATGAGGCTCAAAGCACACAAAATTTTAATCTCCTTCACTGCACTCACCTAAGAAGGTTATACTCGGTGCATTAGGATTCCCCCTGTTGCGTGGTGTAGGAGGGGTAAGCAGTATGTTCGTTTATTCTTGTTTCTCTAATACTCAAACCCACGATATAACCAGGTCTGATGACTCTGATCTCTTCCTTTACTGCCTTACCTCCAAAGTTAAAATAGATGATGTCCAATTCAAAGTTTTTAATAAACCAGTTTCAGAATTCCTTTGTTCCTTCCACCAATATCTTTTTTTTTTCCTGGTGTCCTCTCTTAACATATTTTGCAATCTACCTGGATGATAGATTACTTTCTGTGATGCAATATTTATCTTGTTGAATTTTAAACACTGCTTCAATAGTCTCCACCATGGTGAAAATTCAATGACCTTTGCCTGAAATATCAAATCTGCATCTTCATATGGATACCATCGCCACCCCCACCCCCTGGGATTTCCATCCCTATGTCCTGGGATGTCCATCAATCTTCAACAGTACAAAAACAATTGATCAAGTTCAAACTATCCTGGAACTATTGTGTAGTCACCGGTGTTTTTATCTCTTTGCCGAGAATTGCTTTGATCAGACCTTGTCCCACCAAGGTTTCTTTAGCTATTCTTTCACAAGCCTCCACCTCGAACCAGACCATCGAAGTTCCTTTTGTGTCATCACACTGAATATCGGCAATAAAGAACTATGAGCACTTGTTCTCAATTCCACCCTTTTGGAACTAAACCTTGTGCTCTAATGCACCACTCTTCACAAGCGTTGTGTCCGCTCTTCCAATGACCTAGCTTTTAGCCAAAGCTTTATCCTGCTCTTCATGAGTCACCCCATTTGCATTTCCACTCCAACGAGAGCCTTTGCACCTTGCAGCCCACATCCTGGTCCACTGGGCTGCATTTCCATGACTCTCACACCAAAAGCCTATCACTATTCTTAAGGGCCATCAACGATATGAACCAGTCATACCACTACTTGGAGAGCTCAACCTGGATCGCCAACCATCAGCTCTGATACCACTTGTTGGGAAAAACCACCAATACTAATATCCTCTTCATGTGTCAAAATAGATTAATTCCAAACAAATAAACTAATCACAGCCACAATCAAAGAGACGCCAGATTTTATGTAGAAACCTGTAAAGGGAATATATTACGAAATAAATAATAGAGAGGGTTTATGAGAGAATTACCAAATGATCGGTGAAGAGAGGCTTTCTTCACGATCAACACTGTTCGATGTGAAGACTTATTTTCCCCGAACAATACTCCGAAATTTCATTGAACTTAGAGTTAATTTCTCAGTTTGATATTCTGGACAAAGATTACACTCTATGAGTGGTACTCTCCACCATTTTATAGCACTCGCCTGACAAACATGTCATGTGTCTGTCTTTTCTCTTTCCTTTTTTTTTTCTCTTCCTTCTCTCTTTCTTTTTCTCTTTACTCCAGGAAATGTGTCTCCCATTTCTGCCAATTTCACTTATCTCCATCTCCATTGTCTTTATATAGCAAGTTGTATACTGTATCATAAGTATGCAGCCCCACTATTCCTTGTGCAGTTACGAATCCGGTCTTCTTTTGCAACTTCAGGTTTTGCAGTCCACCTTTACGACGTTGATTTTCTTGACGGTGCTGACAGAGATTGTGGATGGTGTCCTACTCACATGAGCTAGATTACACCCAACAAATCCCCCCATCCGGTTCATATAAGGGGATCAATTAGACCCGCTTTCTTTTTGTAAGCTTCAAGCCTTTTTTTGGGCAATATCTTCGTCCTCATATCTGACCCCTTTGTCATCAGTATGGAATATGTCCAGTAGCTGCAGCCTCATATCCAACACATTATCAATCCATTGATGCCTCACAGAATTAAAAGTATGTGTTTCTTGCTTCTTACCCAGTTCTTGCAAGAATTTCTTCATTCATAAAATTTCCTTACAAGCTTCAATAATTGCAAAATACTAGACCTTCGTAGTGGATAAAGTGACACATTTTTGTTACTTAGATTGCCACAACACTGCTCCCCTGCAAAGTGACCAAGTATCACAATGGAGATTTTTTAGAATCAACATCATTGGCCATGTCAGTATCTGTGTACCCATCATTGGCCATGTTTGTCGCTGTCAAAGCATAAACATACCTTGGTAGCACCTCTGCCAAAGCATTAATTGACCTGCAAGTGGAGAACTCACTGGTTTTGCGCTACTCATGTTGCACATTTCAAGAACCTTTATACATCTATTTTGATAACAAAAGTTTTCCATTTTGCCAATCACGAGAGATCTTCATGTCTAGAATTTGTTTAGCCGATCCCAAGACTTTTATAGCTAAAGACCTTGCTTAGCTCCTTTTTCAACCTAATTATCTTCCTGGAACCATAACCCCCAAATAACATGTCATCCACATCAAGCAAGAAAATAATAAAATCTCCATCATAATTTTTTTTATGAACACACAGTGATCAAAAGTAAATCTTTGTACCCATGGTCTATCATAAAAAGATAACTTTTTGTACCATTTTATGGGAGCCTGTTTAATCCCATACAATTTTGTTACCCTAAGTCTCCTTACTTTTGACTTGAAACCTTTGCAGTTGTTCCATGCCATATTTCCTCTTCCAATCTCTTCCAAGTCACCATGAAAAAAAAGCAATCTTCACATCAAACTCTTCAATCTCCAGATTCAAGCTGGTAACCAATCCAAAAACAACTAGCATTGATCACATCTTTACCACGATAGAAAATATCTCTTCAAGTCAACACCTTTCTTCTGACCAAATCATTTCATAATCAGTATTGCCTTGCACCTAACTTGTGAGCTATGGTCTTCAATTCTCAATTTGAGTACATATTTGCCCTTGGGAAATTTCACCAAATCATAAGTTGGTTCTCATACAAGGATTTTAATTTCTCCTGCATGGCCTTACTAGCTCACTCCATTTGTGCTCATGCTAAATAACCTCTTGGTAGGCTTCTAGCTCTCCCCCATCAATTAACATCACACATCCGTTAGGAAAATATCTTGCAAAGGAACTACATTCTATAGTGCTAAACTTCTTCAGGTGGTACTTGTTCAGTTTGCTCTTATGCTTCCACATCATCAACTGTATCATCGTAGTCTTCTTCTATATCTCCCCTATGATCATCATATAGTACGGGTGGAGGAATTGGATCTATCTTGGTAGGAGAATTGATAGAAGGTTGAGGCTTCTCTGCCTTTTCCATATTTCATCTGATCTTCGAGGAACACAACATCCTTACTATTGACAACCTTCTTGTCAAGAGGATCTCATAATCAATACCCAAATTCGTCATGTGCATAGCCGAAGAAAATACACTTCTTAAAGCAAAGGCTCAAATTCAACAAAATCGATGCCAAAGTGGCTGTAAGTATGCGTCAACGTAAGCTATAGTAGGCGCTAGAGTGGGTGCCGAATTGATGCCTGATTGTAAGTGGAAATTGGCTGACAAATTTCCACCTAAAGAAAATGAACACATTTGAAGAAAAGCATGAAAAGAGAAGTGTAATCTCTTGACTTTGCCTCGAGAAGTTATGTCATTTACCATGTATGCCATTGCTTTTTTAAGCCTATAAAAAGGCCTTCAAACTTCACCTTTTGGGCATCCCATTATTGGGTATGGCAAGGGATGTCTCTATTTACGAATTCTGAGAATCTGATTTCGACAAGAAATTCGGGATAAAGGTGAAGGGTTTTTATATTTAATAAGCTACTTTATTGGTAATGAGAGGCGTGCACAAGGGACTTAGGTCTCAGTTTGGAATTTAACCTCTACTAGTGAGACTTGTACCATTGTACTTAATTTCTCTCAATAGTAAAGGATGTGATCGGATGATGCCCTGTAAACAAAGGCCAAAATTTTGCCGAACCAAGTAAGTATCATCGTTGTCTTTCTCTGTGCACGTTGATTTATATATTTGTTCATTGTTCCTATCATTGTACTGCCCAAATTACTGCAAATATTCCAAAACTGGTATCAATCCTGCTCATGTGAGTTGGGCACCACCCACAATACCCATCGACACTGAAAAAAAATAGACAAACACCTACTACAACCAGCACCACTATTGTTGACCCGCAATCTCCATTGGCACCGTAAAAATAAAAAAAAAAGCAACATTGTAAAGTTGGAGTACAATGCTTGAAGTTGCAAAAGAAGACTCAAATTTGCAACCGGATAAGGAAGAGTTGGGCTACAATATACAACTTGCTATGTCAAGATCGTGGAGATGAGGCAATTTAGAGAGACAAATTTGAGTGGAGTAGAGCAAAGAGAAAAAGAAAGGGATAAGGGAGAGAAAAAGAAGAGCGAATATGATAAAAATGAGAGATGGAAAACACGGGTGACAATTGGAAAGTAGTAGAAAGTTTTTTGCGAGAAAACCTAGAGTGGTAAGGAGTGTCACACTAGTGTAATCTTTGGTCAAAAGATACGAAAGAAGAAACTAACCAATAATTTTATATTGGAAGTTGGAATCAAACTTTGTCCCATCCCTTAACTGGTTTTCACATAAAAATCGGCTATCTCTCTAATTGTGCTTGTGATTATTTTATTGGTTTAGAATTAATCTTTTTTGCTTGGAGAATTAATATTATTATTGGCAGTATTTCTTAACATATTTTGGTCTTTCTACGTAGTTGTAAGGCCCCGTACAAAATTTAAAGATGAATAACATGATATTAAGAGTACTTCTACAAAGATGATATAAACTTTGAATTATTGTTGAAAAATTGAAGTTTTGGGATGGTCAGTCTTATGGGATGATCACTTTTAGGATAAATGAATTTAGTTAAATTTTAAACATATTTAGAGGATAATAACATCAAAAATAGATCCGAAAGGTCGAGAAACGTTGTGATAAGTGATACGGGGTGTACTAGAAGTTTGGATGTATTTGGTAGTTGAAACACATTTTGTAGGAAATTAGGATTGGAAGAAATTTGACACTACCTTAGTATTTCCAACATAACTTTTTACACCAACATTCGATTGCTTTGATCTTTGAACAATAGAAACTAGACTTCAAGGATGACAAAAATGTATTTTATGAAAATTTGTGAGTCAGTTTCTAACTAGGTCAAAATTGAGTCGGAAGTTTAGGCTAAAAAACTACTCACATTTGGACGTGAAGAGAGCCGTCCCGACGCAACTTTGAAGGTTCTGACAGTAAGCACCATCTAGATGTAGCTATAAGGTTCCACGCAGTGAGTTTCGACCGTCCGGATGCAATAGTACAATCTGGACGAGTCTCTAAGAATAGCCTAGGTAGTTTTCAGCATTTTTCTTCGTNAATTACTGCAAATATTCCAAAACTGGTATCAATCCTGCTCATGTGAGTTGGGCACCACCCACAATACCCATCGACACTGAAAAAAAATAGACAAACACCTACTACAACCAGCACCACTATTGTTGACCCGCAATCTCCATTGGCACCGTAAAAATAAAAAAAAAAGCAACATTGTAAAGTTGGAGTACAATGCTTGAAGTTGCAAAAGAAGACTCAAATTTGCAACCGGATAAGGAAGAGTTGGGCTACAATATACAACTTGCTATGTCAAGATCGTGGAGATGAGGCAATTTAGAGAGACAAATTTGAGTGGAGTAGAGCAAAGAGAAAAAGAAAGGGATAAGGGAGAGAAAAAGAAGAGCGAATATGATAAAAATGAGAGATGGAAAACACGGGTGACAATTGGAAAGTAGTAGAAAGTTTTTTGCGAGAAAACCTAGAGTGGTAAGGAGTGTCACACTAGTGTAATCTTTGGTCAAAAGATACGAAAGAAGAAACTAACCAATAATTTTATATTGGAAGTTGGAATCAAACTTTGTCCCATCCCTTAACTGGTTTTCACATAAAAATCGGCTATCTCTCTAATTGTGCTTGTGATTATTTTATTGGTTTAGAATTAATCTTTTTTGCTTGGAGAATTAATATTATTATTGGCAGTATTTCTTAACATATTTTGGTCTTTCTACGTAGTTGTAAGGCCCCGTACAAAATTTAAAGATGAATAACATGATATTAAGAGTACTTCTACAAAGATGATATAAACTTTGAATTATTGTTGAAAAATTGAAGTTTTGGGATGGTCAGTCTTATGGGATGATCACTTTTAGGATAAATGAATTTAGTTAAATTTTAAACATATTTAGAGGATAATAACATCAAAAATAGATCCGAAAGGTCGAGAAACGTTGTGATAAGTGATACGGGGTGTACTAGAAGTTTGGATGTATTTGGTAGTTGAAACACATTTTGTAGGAAATTAGGATTGGAAGAAATTTGACACTACCTTAGTATTTCCAACATAACTTTTTACACCAACATTCGATTGCTTTGATCTTTGAACAATAGAAACTAGACTTCAAGGATGACAAAAATGTATTTTATGAAAATTTGTGAGTCAGTTTCTAACTAGGTCAAAATTGAGTCGGAAGTTTAGGCTAAAAAACTACTCACATTTGGACGTGAAGAGAGCCGTCCCGACGCAACTTTGAAGGTTCTGACAGTAAGCACCATCTAGATGTAGCTATAAGGTTCCACGCAGTGAGTTTCGACCGTCCGGATGCAATAGTACAATCTGGACGAGTCTCTAAGAATAGCCTAGGTAGTTTTCAGCATTTTTCTTCGTATAAATAACCTACGGACAGGTTTTAGGTAATTTTAACGATTTTTTCAACTTTAGAAAGCCAAAGGAGTTAGAAAGAAATAAAAGGGGAGATCTTGATGGATTAACTTTGGGGAATCAAATCAAAACACACTAGGATGGACTAAACTGCAGATTAAGGTGAGGGTTCTTTCCCAGATTCATTCACTGATTATTAGGACTATATAATATATCTTTTTCATCTCTATTATGATATAAATAATAGATCCGTATTGTTTTCTTGTTCATTTGATCTTACAATTCGTTTCTTGAAACAAACTACATGACATGTTTTGCGATAAGGATTGCTCGTTCTTGATACAAAACCCTAGTTCTTGATTTACAAATTAATTTAATCAATAAAACTCCAAGGTTTCTATATTCCTTTTTGATGGTTTACTTATGTTAAGGGTTTATTTATGGTTTTTTTGAGTATTTTTCTAATTAGATATTTGATTATGAATGGTTTTTATTTACTTAATGATACTTTAGTATGATCTCATGATTTAATAGTGGAGAGATAGTTAATATCTCCAGTGTAAATTTTGGGACGTTACAGTAGTCCCTTTAGGCAAGAGTTGGAAATCAACTCTTCTTTTCAGCACACGAACACGAAACATTGGCTTTGGAATGCATTCATCACTTTTAGTCTGAGTCATTCTCAGAGCTCCAGAAACAAGATTTGATTTTTTCTAATAAAGACAACTGTAGACAGAGTATCCCATCAGTTGCCATCTGATACTCCAAACTGAATTCCAGTTTTGAACAGTTCTTCCACAAAATTCTGTTATATAGCATTAGTAAACAGGTGATATACCTTTAACTTTTGAGTAGTGCTCGAAGACATCATCAACCAGCCTGTCAAAGCTTGGAATATAGCCATGAAGACCTTCCGAAAGACCAAATCCAGGATAATCCATTGCAAAAACTCCATATCCAGATGATGCTAACTTCCTAGCTATACCTACAACAATAATACCATAAAATCATAAACATCCAGATCTCTAGAACTAAAACTGTGCTAATTCCAATACTTTATCATGGGCTACATGCCTTCAAAGAAAAATGTGCAAGTGTCTCCATAACCATGACAAAAACAAACCACTGCTTTGGGGGTCTCTGGAAGCCAACTTCTTGAAAAAATTTCCAACCCTCTAGAGTTCACCTCGTAGGACTGTATAAAATATAAACCCAAATTCATTATCAACATACTCAAGGAAATGTCACAAGTGAATGATATATTACACAAAATACCTCTTTTTATTCCAACTAAATAGAACCAAAATGCCTAATATGATATACATGGCAAATCTAAAGCAAGCTTCTCTGTAGCAAATTATGGGATAATGCTTGATTTACCACAACGGGAAACCACTTTAAATAAGCCAAGAGAGAAAGATTGCAGTGCATATACGAATCAATGCAAAGTTGAATGTGGATGTCCAGTGAACACTTCTAAGTTATAAAGTGATTAATCATGAAAAAACTTATGGTAAAAATACATAGTTGTCCAAATTCACATGTAAAATGCAGGCTTCATAACTAGAATTTTTGACAAATGACACTGGGAAGTGGTAATCAGCAAGAATAGTTTGCCACAGAGAAAACATGCAGCTGCACAATTGTGAGATGCAACAACTTCCAAGGGTTTTCCACTTCAACTGTCATTTGAAAAATGACATGGGGGTGTTCCAAGGGGAAAGGACAAGGGAAGGCCTCTTTCCAAGGTCTTTTTGGTTTATATCATCCGCAGTTCCGCACATGTTGAGTAGATAAGTTCAATTGGCCGAGGATGCAACCAAATATACAGCTGTGCAATAACATTATGAATAAGGAGACACTAAAGTTGAAATCATTTTACCTCCTCCATCTTCAATCCTTCATATGGAATCTGTAAGAAAATAAAGCAATCACTGTGACTGTCTAAATATTAGATTGTACAACACATAGCAGTTAAAGATGGAAAAATCGAACAACTAAACAATTATTACTTTAACTGTAGCCAAAAGAAAGGAAAGAAACAATGAACAAAAACTCTCAATGGTCCCCACAGAGGAAAAATGTACCAAGCAGCAAATTGTTATTAGTTTACAAATTATATTGATGCACCCTTCAAGCAGAAACATGGAAAGAGAGTCAAAAGAAAAGAGGAAAAAAGATCTATTTCACAATCATAGGGATTGAGGAAGAGAAAAGCAAAATTGCTTCTTGAAGTTTTCTTTTGTAAAATTCTGATGCAATGCCCAACCTTTCTCCTTGTTGTCTACAAGGACCAAATGGACGTTGTAGGACACAAATTGCCACACTTTAACTGTGTCACAAAATGCAAATTTAATAAAACATATCGTGTGCGATTGTAAAAAGAAAATTGAAATTGAAGTAACAGATAATAATAAATGCAGATATCACCAATCTTGCAGTTCTGAACTGTAGAAAAAATTAACCATTGACCAAGAAGATAATAGTGTGTGCTAATATGTTCGGACAATCACCGATACCATTGCCAAGCTCCATGCTTTTGTGTCAATTTCACACTCCTGATTATATGTGAACAAAGCGTAAAAATGAGAACTAACTCACACTCAAAGCTCACATATAGACTATAGTGCTCTCTCCTTTTAATTTTCTGGTTTTTTTTTTTTTTTTGGGGGGGGGGGGGGGGGGGGGG